AGCATTTATTCTTATATTAAAATAATTTACTTTTTAAGACTAATCAATCATGGGTTTCAAGGCACTAACACTTTATTTTGGGTTTGGCTGGAATTGTGACTAAGTTTTAGTGACTTTAACTAACTCTCTGAATTGGTGTCTGGTTGCGACACATCCATCAAGACTAATACTTAAACAAAAACAATATAGCACACGCTTCAGACTCAGCCACACAGTTATATGTACATATACACATCTTGCAAAGGCAGTTATTATATAAAAAGAAAAAAAAAAAGACGAGATAAATGCCGTTTAGGCCACATCGAAATTTCGAAAGTAAAACCAAAATTGCAAATTGCAAAATTTTAAGGCGGCTTTTATTTTCTTGTATTTAATAACTGCGACAACGAGCAGCAGCGACAACTGCAGCCGCTGCTGCTGGTTGCTAAAAATTGTCAACTTCCTGTTGGCCAGACCAAGAGCTAAGTGCCTAATTTTCAACGTTTTCTGCTCTTTTTTTTTTTTTGTGTGTGTGTGTTTTTTCTCTCTCCTTGCCATGCGAATGTGGCCCACAGGCTTTGCCTACGTTGGCGGCGCTTGCGTGGTTAACAAGCGGCTGGAGAAGGTGAACAGCGTCGCCATCATCGAGGACACCGGCGGCTTCAGCGGCATCATAGTGGCCGCCCACGAAGTGGGACATTTGTAAGTAAACCACTGCCCTCCCCCCCTCTCCTTCCCGCTCCCTGCCCATCTGGGCTCACATTTCATTCAGCCAAACGGAACTGTTTGCGGTTTTTTTTTTTTTTTTATTTTTGCATGCACTTCACTTCCACTCCCAATTCATAAGACACCAATAACTATATATCGTATATGCATATATGTGTATATAAAAAAGAAGCAAATCAACTGCGCCAAATTTCCGGCGCTTGACCGCAACTGGAGTGGAAAACGTGTTTGCATTTCCGTTTGACATCATTCGCCYGCCAATTAATTAATTAACATTTTTCTCATTTTCCCGCAATCGCATCGAATTGAGTTGTTTGGCTCATATATCACGACGACTGCTACTACTATTAGTACTACTAAAATACCCAGTTTACTACAAATTTTATTTCCATAATTTACCAATTTCAAATACTACTACTTCCGTAAATAGTATTAGTAAAAAAGAAATACTACTATTCCACAAAAGGTTTTTTACTACTACTTCTACATAAATCTACTGCGACTATAAAAATATACTACTACTTCAGAAATGTACTACTGCTATCTCTATCTACTACTACTTTTAGTAATACAAATAGAAAAACCTACTACTACTACTACTATAAAAGACTACTTTTACTACAACTACTGCAGCAATATACTACTATTACTACTACTAAAATCTACTACTCATACTATTACTGCAAAAATTCACAAATATTATATCCCAAATCTACTATCACTACAAAAATGTACTTATACTACTTTTACAAATATTCCTACTACTACTACTCTTTACCAATACTATTGCAGCTAATACTTCTTTCGCAATAAATTTTCTATTACTACTATTACTACTTTAATTCTTCTACTACTACTGTACTAATCATATTTCTACTGCTATTATACTAACATGATTACTATTAAAATACCACTACTACATATACTACTAATTCTGCTACTATTACCACTCCATGCAGATTGGGCGCCGTGCACGATGGCTCACCACCGCCCAGCTATCTGGGAGGACCGGGCGCACAGCGTTGCCGCTGGGAGGATGGCTACATAATGTCCGATCTGCGTCACACGGAGCGCGGCTTCCGTTGGTCCGCCTGCACGGTGCAGAGCTTCCATCACTTCCTCAAGTAAGTAGCTGCCAAAGCACTGCAAAGGCAATCACTTCATTATACTCCACAGTGGGGACACCGCCACCTGCCTGCACAATGCGCCGCACGAGGACAGCGCCCTGGGTAGATCGCTGCCCGGCACCCTGCTCTCGCTGGATGCGCAATGCCGGCGAGATCGTGGCACCTATGCGTGCTTCAAGGATGAGCGTGTCTGTGCGCAGCTCTTCTGCTTCGACGCCCAGACGGGCTACTGTGTTGCCTACAGGCCAGCAGCCGAGGGCTCAGCGTGTGGTAATGGCTACGTAAGTGCGGCATATCTGCTCAAGCTGAGATAATTCTAACTCTTGCCCCTCCCTGCCCACCTTAGCATTGTCTGGATGGTCGCTGCTCCCCACTGCCTTCTAATATAATTCCCGACTATGGAAACAATTACCGTTTAGTATACAAGTAAGTGCAATCCACAATTCATATAGAAACTATTTCGTAGTTGGTTGTTTATGTTTAGACTTTATAAACTATGTACGTATTTATTTTTTGAGTACAAAGAAAACACGCACACACAAACAAGAAACATATTTTTAATATGCAAACCTTTTACACCTTTACAAATATCAACACCAACAACAACTACAACAACAATCACACACCGACAACACAATCTATATCAAAATCAAAAAAATAATCACAAAAAAAAAAACAACACGAAACACACGCACCTTAGTAAAATCAGCCAGAAGAAAAGCGATGCGAACAGCCAAACGGGCGAAGACATTGAAAATAGTAGTGAAGAGAACGAATCCCAAGAAGCTGAAGATGAAGCCGAAGAGAAGCAGGAGCAGGAGCAGGAGTCGGACAACACTAGTAGTGAGGAGCAGCAGGATAATAACATACAGCAGAGCTCTGCTGCGGCTGTTGCTGCTACGGCTGATGCTGCTGCTGCTGCCGACAATGCTGACACACCGACAACAACAACAGCACGAACCTCAAAATCGACAACACCGACGACTGCATCACGTTCCAAATCATTTGAGTTTTTGCGGCGACTGTTCAACGCTGACCGCACTGATAATTTGGCACTACACAACACTGAGTCGGAGTGGCTGCAAAATGGTGGCGTTATGGTTAAGACACACACCAGCAGCAGCATCAGCAGCAGCAGCAGCAACAGCAACAGCAATGGCGCACGCTACACAACAACAACAACACAAAAACCAACAACAACAACAACAACCACAACACAAACACCAAATCTGTTTCAAATTTATACACATGAACTACGAAAACAAATTGAATACTATTTTCATTTGATACAAACACAACAACAGCAACCACAACAACAACAACAACAACATCAGAATACGCCACATAAACAACAACAAGAACAAACTGTAGTTACGTCCAATGAACATTTCCCAATACCCTTGGTACAAAAACAAATTACAAATTATAGTGCCACCACCAACAGCAACAACAGCGGCGAGAGCAGCAACAATGGCGCTAAAGAACATAATAGCAACAGCAACAGCAATGGCAACAGCAACAGCAACAACAACAGCGTGGAAGGAAACAAGCGACAGCAGCAACAACAACAACAACAACAGCAGCAACAGCATCATCTAGTTGATGAGGAAAACGAGGCCAATGCCGGCATTGAGATCAATGAAGCAATTGAGCGGCAAAAACGTAAGTTTCACACACAGCAACCCAGACACTTGACAACACTGCAACAGCAACAACAATTGGCAACAACAACAACAACAAGCACAACAACAGCCGCAAACCGAGCAGCCAAGGCGATGCCAACAACAACTACAACATCAGCAACAACAACTAAAACAAAAGCAACTTCATCGATATTCGATGCATATTTTAAAAAATTTCAAGCATTGCATTTACCAACACTGGACGGAGCGGTTACAGCCACCACAACATCGGTGTCCACCTCCGTTAGTTCAACAGCAACAAAAGCCAGCAGCACACAACAACAGCAACAGCAACAACAGCAACAACAAAAGCAACACCAACAACAGCAACAGCAAAACTTTGATGGCAGTCAATTCTTAAAACGTACGCTAAATCGCAGTAGTAATATAACAAACAAAAATAGTAGTAATAAAGTTAGTCATAACCATAGTCAGCAACAACAACAACAACAACAACAGTTGACATCGCCCTCATATGTAACAAATTATATTGGCGACAATACCAACAATTTGCCAACGGTGTTGGACAATCAGCCAAGCACAACAACAACAACAACAACAACAATAGCCATACAACAACTCGAACAACAGTCAGCAAATGGCAACACAACAACAACAACAACAACAACGCTCAGAAAACCTAAAATCAAAACACAAAAGCTGATACGACGCACACGAGTCATGTGAAAGACACAAAAAAAAACAAAAACAGAAACTAGAAAGAGCGTTGGCAACACTGCTGCTATTTCTACTACTATTTCTGCTACTACTAAATATACGTAAACACAACATTTCAATTCGATCAACAACACTGCCAGCGCTACCCAGTTTGTAACTGTAATTCTCAAAGTACGCGCACACACAAACACACAGTTACACACACACACACACACATAGAACAGATTTACAGTTACACGCACACAAGCCTAAATTGTCCTCTCAACGTTCCGATTCGATTTGTTACTTTGCTACTTCGTGCGGTAAGAACACAAAAAGCAATCAAAAATCTACAAAAATTTAGTTAATTCGTAGACTAAAAGCTTCGCAATCAAATAAAATATACAAATATCGGGGAATTTATTCTAAAATATATTAGTGGTATTTGCTGCCTGCTACATATAATATATATACCTACATATATATATTTATATTTATATTATATTCTAGATATAATCGGTAATTGAAGCTTACCAATTCGCATTCGTAATTGGCCATTTTAGCTATAATATCGAACAATTATCTTAAGCATGAAACCATTTATTCACATTTACAAACCAAGTAGTAGTATTTGGGCTATATAGTAGTAGCCCAAGAAAGTAGTAGTATATGCTTGAAAAGTAGCTCTTAGCATGAACAAGTAATTGATTTGATAAATAATTTATTAAAAAAAAGTTCAACATTTATTTCTAATAGTATCAATGCCCTATATGCATAGGGAGTGCCCATAGTACATATATGATAATAGTCTGCATTAATTTCATGAAGCTGATTGGAATTGTCATCAGGCCTAACAGCTATGCCAGTTGCCTCTCATCAATTCAACTCAACTCAAAGAATAAAAAAATAAATAAATTCATTGCTGATATAAATTCATATAAATTTACAAAACTCGCTGCGGCTCCTGCTCTCTCACTCTCTCTCCTCTCTCTCTCTTTCTCTCCACAAATTACATGCAACACATACTACATTTATATATAAAGCAACCAATAAATCAACAGATTGGTAACACCCATACACACATAGATAAATTTCCACCCACCCACACAACCACACACACACACAGACACCAAACATGCATCAGCATTGACAATTGTAGTACCTAAGTTAGCTAGTTGCTCCACATTATGGAATATACTCAAAATGGCATGGCGTAAAATTCGACTAAACAATAAACAATCAAATCGCATTTTGCATACTAAAATAGCAACAAATATCAATGCAAATCAAAGCAATTGGAAACGCATGGAATGTGGAACAAGTAAACAGTAAAAGCTGATTAAAAACTCAAAATGGTGGCATATGGTACAGTACACACTGCAAATCACCACAAAAACTGCAAAAAAAAAAAACAAAATGGCGTCTGGCGGCGTCGGCAAAAACACAAAATAAAAAATAAAAACTTTTCAGACAAAAAACTGCAAACATTCCTCACATACTGCACGCCTAACACTTATTGCACTTTTTATTGAAATTATTTTTTATTAATATATTCACTCTTGTTTCTCTATTTCATTTTGTTGCCGCCCGTTTAGTGGTTAACTGGAAGCTGTTTCCGTTTTAGAGCACTGCCAATCGGAAAGCGGATGAAACGTTTGGATTTGGCCTGGTTATTGCCATTGAGAAAGTTTTAACAACAAGAGAAACAAACAAAATACTTATGTATATTTGCAGTTGCAGCAAATTGTGTTTTTAGATAGAATTTTAATATTATTATTTTTATTTTTATTTTTTATTATAATAATTAATAATACAAC